ACCAGGCTATCCGGCAGCGTCAGCTGAGTCTGCCACACGGGATGCAGGGGTCCTAGCACGTGGGTCACGTTCCTCTGCTTTCACAGACGCGTTAGCAGGGAATGGAGAAAAGGAGCGATCTTTGCACTGTCCACCGGCTTGTGCAAGTTACTTTAAGGTCATGTTGGAACCTACATAACGCCTACTACAAATAAAACGCTTCAAATGAGGTCAGAAGTAGCCTGAAGAAGTAACCTTCTTCGCTCAGCCACCTGAGTCCACTCCCAGATGCATGCTCGCCATCAATTCCCCGTGCCCTCCAGCGAAAGAGCCTAGCTCCTTTCTCTGTAGTCACATGGTCCAGGGAGCCTGGAGTCATCAGGCTTGACCATGCTGATGAATGACAGTCAGGCTTGCCCTGGGGTGCAGCCCTGGGACTGCTGACCCGCCCTCCGCAGGCAGGTTCAGGACGAGCCACAACCCATGCCGGAAGGTTAGGCAGGAGGAACTCTTGTCATGACAAAGGGCACTAAATATCTTCCACTATTCTCTTCTACGTTATGCCAGGGCTTCTGTTTATCATCTGGGATTGTCTAAATCAGTGCTGAAGCTCAAGTCTTTTTTGATGGGCACAGAAAAAAAAATGTTTGAAACCGTTTCAAAATAAATGCAGGTTAAAAGGCACCCTACGCAATGAAAATTCTGTATTTTGTGCTACTTATTCCGGTAGTCAGTTTTTTTCCTCACAAGGGAGAAAAAATGAACAGGTACCCACATGGGATCCCAGCAAACACAAGGTGAGGACTTTAGCCACCAGGCTACCGCACCAAACCCTTACAGACACTCTTACTATGTTCTTTCTGTCTTTCTAAGAGCAACCATGCGATCAGGAGCAGGAGTGAATGTCACACAGAAAACCTTCATAGAGGTCCTCTTGTTGAGTTCCCAGCGGACTCTTCCGATGGCCTGCTGGTCACCTGAGCGGGCGATCTTGGTCCGGCCCAGTGACCTCCGGACCCCTGCAACCTCAGAAGACTTGCTTCTTCTACACGGTGGAACCCAAGGACTGACCACCCAGCCAAGGCCCCTAGACGCACACACCGGGACAGAAATGAATTACACTTGACACATGAAACTGACATTAGTCCATTTTAAAGCATTTCATTTAGTCCTGTAAGCTGAATACAATATTCCTTTTTCTAGACTGTAATTTTGCCTGGCTAAGGGAGTACTCAGCATTCGATCTCTGGTTTTTGATAGCGTGTTCTGTACTTAGTAAGCACTCCATAAATGCTCGTTAAATGATCAAGTCTTCCCTTTTGTGTTGCACTTAGTCTAATTTTCCTGCATGCTGCAATCTCTATTCAAATGCAGTGAGCTATTTTATACATTGAATCCATAATCCCATCCCATGATTGCCAAAGAATGTGGTTCCAATGAGAGGACAGGGTTTGGCACACCCTTGTGAAGTGATTACTAATGCTGGGACTTACACAATCTGGACTGGCATTATACTTCAGCGCATATGTTTAAATAGGTGCTCACACACAAAACAGACTAAACATTCTTTAGTTTTGCCCCCACCAATTCAGACAAAGATGATGACATTAATTTTACAATTACTAAACAAATGCTTCCTACGTAAGGTCATGGAGAGAATATTTATCTTTTTATGACAATGTTCTCGAACGTTTTAGATATTCTGTTCACAAACCATTAAAAGGGTCATTTGTAGTGTTTGCTTATTTATAAAAGAGAGTCGGTTTCATAGGACTGTTTATCCAAACTCTGCTAGCATTTTCTTTCAAGTAGGTGCAATGATTCAATGTGGACCTCACAGGAAGGCCCCACAGTGCTGGCTGGGCGTGGCATCACTCAGGGTGTGGGCTTCGCGTCCAGTTTCCTCCTGTCTCGTAGAAGGGAAACTTCACCGGATGTAGAATCAGCCCAGTTCTAGAATCATCTCCTTCTCTTTCACACAGCTTCCATTGCTGATTTGTGAGTCCATAAATGTCAGGAAACATGATTATCATACTCCTGAAATCGACCGGATTTTCGTAAGGACATCAGTCAGCCTGTTCTGTGTTCTAGTTTCAGCCCCAGTTCTCCTCTCGAGGCATGACCCAGTTGCATTCTTCAATCCCTCCCTCCCTGCTTCTCTCCTTTGCTCACTTACAGGGCCCCACTGTCATTGATGGGAACCAAATAATAAACCAGACAAGATCTCTGCCCTAATGGACTTCACCTGCTAATCGAGGACACAGTCAGTAAACACGTAAACAAGGAATGTTACAAGATAGTGACGAGAAAAATGAAGCTGCTGCAGAAGGCAGCGAAGGAGAGGAATAGTTTAGCCAAAGTGGTTCTCTCAGAGCCTGAAGACAGGGAGAAATTCCATGCCTGCAAAGATCCGGGCCAGACAGTCAGGGAAGGGCGGAGCAGGCTGAAGGGGAGGCATCGCCACCCTGGGAGAAACAAAGGCAGGCGTGGCTGGAACAGAGACAGGGGCTTAGGACGAAAGCTTGCCGTCTCAGGTCACGTCGATCTGCTTTGGGACTGAGAAAACACTCTTCATTTGCCTCTTTAAAAACAATCTCTAACTTGCAGAAATAGAACAGTGGACTTCCGTGTGCTCTTCACTAATTTACCAAACCTCTGTCCTATTTGAGCTCTTAGCCACACACACACACACATTTACACTACTAATAGTATTTTTGTTGAAGCATTGGAGAATAATTATGAAACCTTAATGTTTCTCTGAGTGTATCCCAAAGATATGCAGGTTCTCCAAAAGGGTTCATGGAAAAAAAAATGTAAACTATAAAAATATCACACATGGAGTTCAATTTTTTTTAATCAAAACACTGCTACCTTTTAATTTCATGTTCCCATGAGCATCTGAAAGACCCTCCTGTTCACCTGCATGATTCATAAGAGATTTCACATTGTGTAACACGATTATCTGCTATTGAGTCTGTATCCCCGTTTCACTCATTGCCCTTTGCCGGTCATTTTCTTTTCTCCAGAAGGCTCAATCCAGGATTACCCACTCTTCCTAGAATGGCACAGATCCTCAGGTCTTTTTTTGCTTTATTTATTTATTTATTTATTTATATTTTTACAATATTGATATTCTTAAAAAGAGTATAAGCTGGTGGACTGCTGGTGGACCAGCACAATAGCTTAGTGGCTCAAGTCCTCACTCTGAACGCACTGGGATCCCATATGGGCGCCGGTTCTAATCCCGGTGGCCTCCCTTCCCATCCAGCTCCCTGCCTGTGACCTGGGAATGCAGTCGAGGACGGCCCAAAGCCTTGGGACCCTCACCCATGTGAGAGACCTGGAAGAAGCTCCTGGCTCCTGGCTTGGGATTGGCTCGGCTCCGGCCATTGCGGCCGTGTGGGGAGTGAACCATCGACGGAAGATCTTCCTCTCTGTCTCTCCTCCTCTCTGTATATCTGCCTTTCCAATAAAAATAAATCTTTACTAAAAAAAAAAAAAAGTGTAAACTGATACTTTGGTAGAGGCTCCAGAACGTGCTGATAATGGCTGGGAAGTTTAGCTCAGGGAGGAAAGGAACTTTGGTTGTGTTTCAGCGGCTGCACCCTCCTCTCCCCTCCCCATGGCATGAGGTCTCCTGCTCGTGAAGACGGCCAGGCTGTGGTCCTGATCGGAGCCCAAAGGGGCGTGGACAGACAGGGCAGCAGCAGGAGTGACGGCTGACCAAGGAGTCGCCCTGGAAGTCTGGTGGTCAGTGTCCTGAGAGGTGAGAAGGCGGTGTGATCACGAATGGACAGTGTGTGTATTTGGATCGGAGGAAATCAAATGTTTGCTGGAAGACCTGCTGCACTGGGGACATCTGAGATGTTCACGTGGTGGTGTGAAATAGGTGGTTGGAAACAATTCTGGATTTGGAAGCAACAGGCGAGGGATTGGGGCTGGGAGGCCAAATCTTTCAAATGTTATCACTGGATGTCTGGAATAGCTGTCTTCAGTAAGCAGCTTGTAAGGTACACGGTGACTTGGTAGGTTGTTCAGCCTCAAACCCAAACAGGCACTTCCGATTCTCACAGACTCTCATCTGCCTCCTACAGGTGCTGCTCAGACACCTACGAATGCCAACTGGATATCTTATGTGGGCTTGCATGCTCATCTTATTACCTGGATGGAGGGTCCTCAAAAAAAGCCAGTGGTAAATGGGATTAGGTGCTTTCACTGGTGCAAAAGAATACTATGAAATCCATGCTGAATTTTGTGCAATATGCCTTTTCTAGAAACTTAATATTTTTTTTTTTTATTTGAAAGGCAGATTTAGAGAGAAGGAGAGAGAGAATCTTCCATCTGCTGTTTCACTCCTCAAATCGCCACAACAGCTGGACCTGAGCTGATCTGAAGTCAGGAGCCAGTATCCACGAGACACTTGGCAAGCAAGGATTTACACAAGTTTCCAAAGTCAGAAAAGCCCACCGCCAAGATGATGCTCACCAGTGCAAAGAGGCTGCAGGTTAATGTCTGCAAGGGAACCAAATGCTTACTGGACACAGACCTTTGCAACAGCGACCCAGTCTCGTGGATACTGGCTTCCTTATTCCTTAACACTTAAAATTTATTTATTAACCGAAAGACATCTCCCATCTGCTGGTTCTCTCTCTAGATGGCCACAATAGGAGCCAGGAGCTTCTTGCGCGTCTCCCAGGAGCGCAGTGGGGCCCCAGGACTTGAGTCCTCCAGTGCTTTTTCAGGCCATCAGCAGGGCACTGGCTCTGAAGTGGAGCAGCTGGGACTTGAATCGAGTACATATGGGCTGCTGGATTGACAGGAGGTGGCCACTTCATATCACGAAGCAGGTCCCGAATGCTTAACATTTGAAAAGGGAAAATTCCAGAATGTCTGAGCAGGTGACAGATACAACTGGTCAGCAATGGGGAGGGGTTTCACACACGCCCACTTGCCTTTGGTTCTGCAGCTGTTTCTGCGTCCTTCCAGGGGGTGTCATCGTAATCACAAAGCCAACATTCCACAGCATGGTAGGTAACTTTATTTTTCTAGCATAATAATTTAAAGTCTGTACACACTGCACACTCACTGGTTTACACAGATACTTATCCATATACCTATGGAGCACATCTAAAGGTTTCTTTGCAAAGATTGGACACACTCTGGGGGTTTCCAAACACAACAGAGGACCAAAAAAAAATTTTTTTTTGAGTCTTTTCAAGGCAGCCAACCATGTAGAGCCTATGTGAAAATCAACATCTCCCCCCAACCCCCGAGACCTGTGAATAACTCCGGTCTGAAAATGATGGCCAACCAGCATTTTGAGAATCAACACCTGTAAGCAACATTTTCTCTAGAAACCCCAGAATGGGAGACAATAATCCTTGCCTTTATCTAGAGAAATACAGGTCATTTCTGCATATCAGCTTTGGGGGCCCGTAAACATCTCACGGGGCACTGCTCTTCAAGGGAGAACAGTGAAATACACTGAGGTTACTGTCAGTGATGCTGGTGGCCTGGAAGCCATTCCCGGCTACACTGCATGGCAGAATTCAATTTCATTTCCCCAACCACTTAGCACAGGCTGCTCTACTTTTCCTGAAAAGGACAAAGGGAACCAAATACAATCCAGATACTGTAGACATCTCTATTATTGCTTCATTTTTATACTATCCGCACAGAAACAGTGGTTTAGAAGTATCAACATTTCCCCTCCCTTTTCCTACTCAATGACTAAACAGTTATTTGCTAACAAGAGCTTCTGAACTTGGTCCGCAGCTCTGCAGATGAACCAGGGGAGTCACAGGTCAGGGATGGCGTCCAGGGCCTCGGCCCAGTTTGGGTGAGAAAGGTTGACAGGCTTAGGTTCTAACCCATGGAGCCGAGTCTCTTAACACAGTAAGAAGTCTTCACTACTTCCCCAAATTGCCCAAGGTTCTTCGGTCATAGCTCAGAGGGTAGAATGTCGCATCTCTCTACATACTCACAATGTCCCCTACAGATGGCCCATTCATTCACTACCATCTAGACTATCCAGAATGACAACTTCCTTCACTACCAAGTCTGGGCCTCTGACCCTTGGACATGGCACAAGAATAAAAGCATGATCTTGGCTCACGTGGCTGCAGTTCTTTGTTTTCCTTTTTTGTGCACAGGTAAAGTTGAACTTTGAAGGTACACACCACATCACTTCTTGGAACATGGCATGGAAGCCTAGCTCTGGTTTTGTGTTAAATTGTACATATCCTCACATCAGCCTTCTCAGTTACAGCCCCTGCTGTTGTTCCTCTGGTAACACTCAAGGAGACAAGGAGAGAGCTCCTTGGACTACATGGGGCCACACCAAGCTATGGTGAGCAACCGTCACTCAGCTGAGGCCATGCATGGGATTTCAACCAGCAGACTACTTGGGGGAGCACAACGCTTGGTTACCAACACATCTGATCTAGGGAGCACCCAGGCCAAGGCCACCCTTGGGTCATTAACATCCTGCTCCATTGTACTGTGCAAGGAAGGATGTGTGAGACTGCAGGCCATGCTGCGGAGGGCAGGGCTCCTGTGTTAGGATCTGGGCCTCTGCCACGTGCAGCAGACTCCAGGGCGTGGACTCCTCAGGTGAGGCTGAGGAGGCCTCCCGGGCGTGGAGGCATGGCATCCCATGGCATGCCATGCCTCCCGGGGGTGTGTGCCTCTGGGCTCACACAGCTGAGGAAGCAGAGTTTGATAATAAGCGCTTGCTCACGTAAGAGAAGAAAAGCAAGCCAGGGTTATTACTTTATGGTTTCATGTTTTGTTTAATGTAAATACAGTTAAGAGAGGGAAGGACTACAGTTTAAACGGAGGATAAGAAAAAGTCCCAGAGCTACTGGGGTATAGGAGGGACCTGCTACTTATCTATGAAACTGCCACCATTAGACCTTTTGATCTAACCAAAACAGCAGCTTCCTATGGTTCAACCTCACACAACACCCATGTTCAAATAACACTGGGAGAACTGAGAGTAAAAGGAACTGTTGTCATTCGCCTCTACCTGCTGGAAATGCTGACAGCCCCAAAACAGAGGGAGGGCTTCCTAAATCAGTGTTTAACAGTCAAAAGCACCTGCAGCTGGGGAAGAGGGCAGGCGTGTCAACTGTCTTTTCAGGTGGAGCGAGGGCAGGAGATGGGAATTCGGACACCATGCCGAGGGAGGAGGCAGCGCCACCAGGAGGTGGCCAGTGAAACTGCACACCCCTTGCAGCAAGACTAGCAATGGGAAAGGGCAGGAGGGACCAGAGGCAGGGCAGAGCTGCAAACCACTGTGGGTGCCATCCAGGGGCCTGCTGGGCGTGGTATCTGTGTATATGTTTTCTACATGTTAACCAGGTACACGCATAAATATTTAATATATAAAAAATAAAGTGCTTTCTAACAGGTCCCCAAGCAGGGACATTATAAAACATTTCACAAAACAGCAAAAACAAAATTGATACAATCAGAGACACTACATCCAACACAGGTGAAAACAGCCAAACGCAGTATGTACAATCTGGTGGGGGTGCAAGGAAGGGGAGGAGGGGAGGAGTCATCGGGACGAACATCCTGTCATATACATGGTATATACATATATACTCTTTTTACTCAATATATTATGACAATATATATTTTAAAATTTTGTTATAGACAAAAAAATAAAAGAAAAAATCCAAACAAACATAAAAGACAATCCCTACAAAAACATGATAAGGATCAAGCTTGTGAGTCCCAGACAGACGGGCCAGCTGCCGCCCCCAAGGCGGGTCCCGCTGCCTGGGCTTGGGAAGATGTGCCAGCGTTCCTTGCGCGGGTGCAGCGCCTCCACGTCCTCCAAGGCACTGTGGGCTGCAGCCGTGAAGTTGGCATCCCCGGTGGTGAGCAGGTCGAAGACACAGGACTGGAAGTAGATGTCCTTCACCGGGATCTTCTCCTGGCACTGGGTGCTGGCCGTCTCCAGTGTGTAGCCGGGCCAGGCCTGCACCAGCGAGGTGCGAGGCAGGCTGTGACCCAGGATGGCAGACACCTGGCCCTGTCCATCATCGATGCGTTCACTCAGGGGGCAGCCATTCACACACAGCTGCAGGTCCTGGCTCTCCTCGAAGGACATGGCCAGGTCCTCGGGCATGCGGATGGCCAGGGTCAGGTAGCGACCCAGCTGCCGCACGAACACGGTGGTCCCTATGTAGCGGGCATGCATCTCCACGTAGCGGCCACTTTCGCGCTCCACAATGCGCAGGCTCTTGGCATCGCCGTCCCCGCCGCTCGTGGTGCCGTCCACGAAGGCGGCCGGCAGGTCGTCAGTCACAGCTTGGTACACTTTCTGCTCGGTGCACTCGTGGTGGGCTTTGAAGATGACAGTGATCTGTTGGGGGAAGTGGGGGAACACGGGCAAGGTTTAGTATGACAGGCAGCAAACGGGAAGGGGTTCCCTTTCACTGGGGACCCAGCAGCTCTTGGCTCAAGCCCTCTGGCTCTTGCCTCAGGGATGATGGGGGCTCTAGCGGGGAGGTCACAGGAACTCCCAGATTCAGGGCTAAAATGTCCCCTAACTCCAGGGCACGTGGGTCAGGAGAAAGCTGCCTTCCCTTAAGTGAGAGAACACGGTTGCTGTGGCGAAATGGACACATCTCATGAGGTCTCCTTGACCAACACCGATGAAGTAAGGTACAGACCTGAGGACGAAAGGAGAAGGTTCCCATGCAAACTGTAAGGAGCTTAACTAACAACACGCCTGGGGACCTGGCCGTCCATGAGGGTCGGGGCTGGCATCTAACCCTGGGATCCAGCCCAGAGACCCCGAAGAGGCAGAGCAGAGGAGGGGGTAGGTGCTCCCAACCACGCACCAGATCAGCGCTCTCCAAGTCTCTAGACTGAATGTTTCATATCACACTGCCTAATCCTGGGGCCGGGGAAATCACTTGGCAAGCGCAGCTCCCAAGCCCTGGCAGAGACTGAATACCCCGAGCCTAGTTACAGCCAATGTTTTCCCCAAACAGTGCCACATGGTCTTTCAACTCCTCACAAAGTTGTCCCCAGCCAAGGCTGAAGCCCGCAAACTCAGCATGCGCTTCACGGAGGGAACGATCTCCACGGCTCAGAGTTAAAGTAATCCATCTCCCCGCCTGCAAGACTCTTTCACTGGGACAATTACTGTCAGTGGCTGAGGGGACTTCCTTCTTAAGAAAAACAACAACAACAACAACAAATGAGAGGAGTTAGGGAGAGTGGTTACTCTGGAGGGAGGAGCCCCCCACTCCCAGAGAGAGCCAATCAAAACAGACTCTTGTGAAAAGGCCCAGAAAATACCCCCTCTTCCTCCGCCAAGCCTTCCCCACCACCCCTCAAGTTTATGTCTGACTCTTTCTCCGACTCGGCCAGCGTTTGCTCACACTATTTAATGCCACATGTTCCCAGTGGTGTTACTTGACTGGAATTTTCCAGCCGTTTCATTGTACTTCAGCCAGTTATAAAGCCAGATCCGAAGCAGCTGCACCGAAGCCAACTGGTTAAATTCATATCCGCTTTGTTTGCAGCTGCAAGCCAGACCATGTCCCGGGAAAAGGCTGGGGTCGCTCCCTGCCTAATGACCCCAAGTTGGGACTTGATCTCACCACCAGTCTTCTCACATTTCAACACCTTCCTAACAACCTGAGGACGTGTACCTGAGATGACTGCAGGAAATTTGTTGTGTGTCCAGCCATGGGCCCTGCCAGGGTGGCTGGGGGTTTGCAGCTAGATAGCTAATGGGACTATAAAGCAGATTTATGTGGTGGCTTTAAAGCCAATTTGACAAGTGCTTTTTAAAGGCATGCTGGATCCTCTGGAGGTGAAGATTAATTCAAACGAATTCTGCACCTGAAAAAGTTCAAGGTTAACAGCACAAATGGCTACAGCTTTTGCTTTTTTAATGCAGAATTGGTGTTGTCATTTGCCAGCAGGACACACTCAAAGAGATGCCAGCAACTTCTCTACAACAGCTGAGCAATTTTTTAGTGTTTCTAGACCAGTGAACCTCACATTTAAGTCCATCTGGTCTTACCTGCAAGAACTAAGGTCTTTTCTGTTCGGGAGGTGGGGGGGGGGTAGGAGGCATGTGGTGGGGGAGAATTCCTTTTGTTGGTACAACAAAGCAAAGTCAGTCAATGCCAACTGGGCTTCTAAAGAGGCAAGCCAAGGTGGCTAGCAGACCCAAGCCCGGCTGTGCCTGCCCAGGTCAGCTCTGTGGCTGAGGGACACAGATGCCCACATGGCTGGGAAGCCTCCCAGATGCCCTGCACACTGTTGCCCTCTGCTGTGGCTGGGACGCCCACCTGGACGAGCCCAGATTCTGCTCTGGTGTCAGACAAGATTGTTGTCTGGGCGATGTTCTCCATGCAATGATCCGGAGGGGTACTTCTCTCGCTGCTTCCCTGGGGGTGCACTAGTTCTCCCACAGACCAGCAGGCTGGGGGTGATGACTGCACCCCAGGCATGCATGCATGTGGGTTTCTGGGGTTTCCTTCACAGTCTGGGGACAGAGGGACTGGGGAGTCCGAGCCAACGTCCACGGGGGACATGCTGGGTAACGCCTCACGTGACTTCAGGCCTGCAATCTGTCTCATCCTTCAAGACCATGAGAGTGGGGCTCTTAGCAAAGAACCAGCCAGGAAGGGAAAGAAACCATGTTCAGATTGTCTTACTCCTCAAAACTGACTCAACCGTTACTTCAGAATATTCACAATATTCAGCACTCTAGCACGGAACTGAAAAAGAGCCCGGTTCTGTCCCTTCCCTTTCTCCCTCTGAACTGATCCATCTGCTCTAATAAGTCAATTTGGCACATCTGTTCCATGCCACACCATTTATTATTGATGGATGGCATTTCTGTGCATTTAGAACATCAATGCCTTCTGTTAAACCTCCCCCAGTGCCTCTCAACCCCCACCTAAGGCAACTACTCCAGTTCTCTTCATCCATTTTTAATGTTTCACTCTGTGGTATCTTTACTGGCCACACAAGGTCTATTAGGAGGAGAAAGATAGCAGCTACAAATCAACCTCCCGACAAGCGAGGTCAACAAGAACCAGGCAGGCTTGCTGCCAAACACCAAACTCCAGAGGCACCTGCTTCTCCTGCCCACTAGGACAGAGAAGGAAATCGATTCAATTAGAGAGAGGCCGGTCCCAAGAAGCCGAGACACACGGAGGTGCTTTGCCCAGGCATGGCAGCCACACAACAGTGCTGCACGCAGACCGTGCATAGGTCGCTGGGGAGCAGAGGTTCATCAGGAGCAGTGCAGGCGCGGCCAGGTGCAGGCGTGGCCAGGGCAGGGCCTTCCCGCACTTCCAGGTGCAAGCATGCACACCTCTTGGTTTAGGTTGGGCTCCAGGAAACACAATGGAAACTGTCACACTTTTGATGCGGGCTTGTTTACAATTCCGCTTGGGTCGCCTTAAATTCAAATGATCTTCCTTCACACACTAAGCTGAGAGAGGACTATTCCATCACAGCCTCCAGGTGCCACTTCTGGCTCCGAGAGCAGGAGACCGAGAAGGAAGGGCAGCCGGGAAGCAGCTCTCATCTCGAAGACCCACGCTTCAAAGGAAAACAACCACAACCACAACAACACAAACACACCCCTTTGCCATTCCGAAACTTCTCAGATTTGACCTGACAGCTGATTGTCTGTGCTAGGGCACCTTGAGTGGGCCAACCCTGGTCCCACCCATCCTTCCCTGCAGGAGCAGAGCTGCCCTACCCAGGCAGGGAGGGCAGGGGGGCAGGGCAGGGGACAGGGTCTTCTGGTGACAGAGAATCTAAGGGAACTATGTGCCCTCCCCCTTTTGAGGAGTATGGGAAAACAAGAACATTCATTAAAATTAACTTTCTGTCTGAATGATTTCAGGCAAAATCCAAGTGGGCTTTTATCTCTGCCATATTTTAGCCAAAAAACTGGACTGGGATACACTTTCATATCATTGACAACTTTCCTTAGCAAAAAAAAAAAAAAAAAAAAAATTAGGGGAGTAAAGCTGTTAAGAAAAGCCAGTCCTACAGTCAGTTCATGGGAATGTTGAGATGTCAGGTTCAGTGGACACTCGGCCTACGGATCACACTACTTCACCGACAGGAAACTGCATGCAGGACATGTACAATTCCAGCAGTCTGGTAGGCAGCTTTTTGAGCTAGGACAAGAAACCAACAGCAAGACAGGCACGTGTGTTCACAGGGTGAATACCGGCTCAAAATCCTGACTCCACACTCACTGCAGGGCTGGAAATCCTCAACCTCCAAATGATTCCAAACTGCTGTCTACCTGTCTCGCTGTGCTCCAGGGGCACTCACAGGGCCAAGGAATGGCCAGGCAGCAGACTGCCCAGGGAAAGAAAGATGTGCAGGATCAGGACTGCCTTGGCTCCAAGTGGGGCCTTGGCAGCGGCTGGGGAAAGAAGAAACGCAAATGGAGGGGGGCGGGAGCCCCCCCCCCCACGGCCGGCTGCCAGCCAGCCCTGGTGGTCCAGGGGAGCGCGGAGCTCAGTGCTGGCACGAGCTGCAGGGGTCAAGGGGAGCCGGCCAGCAGCTGATGACGTGGGGCAGTGCTGGGCATGGAGAGTCATCTCCACACCTGAACACGAGGGCAGGCCGTCAGGGCTAAGTGGGTGCTGGGAGGGGGGAAGCGATCCGCTTCCTGCTGCAGAGTGCAGCTTCGCCATGGCTGTGCTGAGGGCACACGACGAAGCCTAGAGTCACAGGCCGCCTCACCAGTGCCCGCGAGGACTGCCCCCTTGGCTGGCTCCTGCCTTCGCATGTCCAGAGAGTGACTGTTTCTAAAAGGAAAGCTAGGCTTGTGTGCCTGGGTGGGCAGCCTCAGTACGTCAGACCAAAGTCTGCTCCAGACCTCCGCTTTCAGTGGGGGCAAGAGGCAGGGCCCCTGCCCCGGGCTGTGGTGCGACCCTGGGCAAACGCTTTGCGTTTCAGTGTAGCACAGCTGTTGCCCAGACTGACAGGGTTTAGGAAATCACTGCCCCTTTGATCGCCACCCCCCCTTTGGGGAGGTGAGCGAAACAGTAAAAGGTCTGGCAGGTCCTTGCTATGCACTCACACCCTGTCACGTCTCGGTTCAATTTCAAGTCCCTGAGGCTTAAAAGGAAAAGAAAGAATAAAGGCCCCCGAGGACTGGGGAGGAGGGTGGTGAGAAGCCGTGTGCTTCAAGGGGCTGGCTAACTGAACGCCAGAACAATCTCCTTCTGTCTGCACACTGCTCGGGCAGGAGACGGGCGGCCGTCAGCGCCACAGACGCACATGTGTGCACATCTGTGCGACCACACACACACGCACGCACAAAAGTGAAGTTTAAAGCCACAGTGAAATGCTGTCCTATCA